AAAAAAAAAAAAAAAAAAAAAAAAAAAGATTGCTTTCCTGCTAAGCTTTTCCTGGATTGAATCTTTATTTAGGTGACTGTGATTCAGGGAGACCATCAGGAAATCATGCTTTTATTTTTGTAATCCTTGTTTTTTTTAAAAAATGTTCTGTTTTATCCAGTATGAACTGGAGCTCCTGGCTGCCACGTGTTAATGACTGCTGCACCTGGAGCATGGTTAATGTACTAGAAATTTAAAATGTAGATGACACTGGTTCTTACTGGTTAGTAAAGTCTCTATAATCCAAAGCACTATCTTACAGTGGTGCAGGCTGTGCAGTGGTTGTGGGTTATTTGTTTGGTCCTGATGCGTATATTGCTTGCCTGCCTTAGGATCAAATCTGCGTGTGTACTGGTCAGAGAACAACAGAAGCTGATTTGATTAATTGTTTGTAAGTAACATCATTTAAACGAGCGTTACGTTACTTGTTGGTATTTTCTGGCACACTGCACCATCATAGCTTACTAAATAGTGCAACGCCAGACAACAGACGGCAAAGTAAATTGACAGTACTATCATTACTGGAGCTGTAACTAAATCTATACTGTAGTCTCAGAGAAAAGTCACTCTTTAGCATCCATGCTAAACTTGAAACGGATGCGGATGCATCACAGGAGCAAGGTTGCACAGTAAGTAACACATTACATTCTTGGTTCATCCCTATCTTTTCATCAAGGTGACTGATTCTCTTGGCATGCTAAGCCTTGAGGAGACTGCTGTACCTCAGATGAGCTTCCCTGTACTTTGTGAATGTGTTTTGTATTTTCATGAGCAACAATCTAGGAAAAGAGGGGTTTGGGGCCTTTGAATAAAGGAAGTGTGTAGTGTCACTGGTTTAGAGAGCCTTGTGAGGTGGCTCTGTACGTTGTCTGGAAGGATTCATTAATCCTTTTGTGCAGGGTGGTAGAAGCCCCTGATGCTGAGTGCTACCACGAAGTGAATCTAGCCAAGAAGTTAATTTTAAAAGAAAAACTGAAAGAAAAAGTTATTTGTATTCCTTAGTTTGTTTGCTTGTTGAGCACTAGATTTTAAATTTGTGATCTACAGTTACTGCCTTGCTTTGAAATCCTGTGGTGGGCTTTGAGTTGCTTTGTAAATTAAATTGGAGAAAGGCCGAACCTTGAAATCACCAGGGGAATGTGACCTGTGCTGTGCATTGCGTTGCTGCTCCATATCCTAATCCCATTGCAGTTGTTACAGTCCCGGCGTATAATAAACATAAGTCTATGGCT